CCCCAAAACCCCAAAACCCCAAAACCCCAAAGTGCTAGATAGTACAAATGCAAGAAGAATATAAAATAAATATGCGTAGAGATATTTAATAATAGTGAAAAGAATTAACAGGGTTGTGTTTTGAATTTTATTAAAGAAAGAGAACGAAATCTCCCTTAAAAGCTTTGGTTTGAGTCAAGCAGCTCAGTAGTCATCTCCGAAAAGACCTCCCATATCAACATCGGCCTCCTCTTCCTTTTTCTCTTCAACCTTAGCTGGGGCAGCAGTGGTGGTAGCAGCAACGGTGGCAGTTGGGGCAGAGACATGGACTGCGTTTTTAGCAGCTTCCTTAAGCTTGTCGGCTTGCTTGAATGAGTAGTCAGCATCGAAGGTGACTGAGGCTAAGTTCTTGAAAGCGTTGGCAAGAATGTGTGGCACTGCTGGCTTGGTAACATAACCTGAAGCGAGTGAGATTGAAGCCAAGTTTCCAATTGATTGCCTGAATCTGCTTAAGATATCCTCTGGGGTGATATCAAGGACGTCTGTGTTGAAGATGGATCCCTCCTCGTAGACCTTCTTGACGTGCATCTTGTAGCTGAAGGGTCTGATCTTCAACTTATCTAAGAGAGCGGCGTGGGTAGCCTCAATCTTTTGACCAGATGAGATAATTTTTCTGTCAGCAACGATTTCAATTTGGGTCTTGACAATCTTGGTTTGGATGTTCAATTGCTGGAAGAAACTTGTCTGCTTGGGGTCGAGACCGGTTGAACCAGCTCTAATCCAGACTTCATCTGGGGCGACGGCACCAACCTTGGCTGGAGCTTCTCTGGCCTCTTAATCAAGGATTTTCTTGATTTCAGCAAGATCTCCGTTGGAGAAGATAAGACCGGTGTTTCCCTTAAGCAATTAAACAATCTTATCAAGTTCATCGCAATTCTTCCAGGTTTCCTTTCTGGTCTCGTAGTCCACATCAGTTTCAACTGGTTCAGTCATTTTGTGGTTAAGAGCGGCCTTCATTAAGGTCTATAAACGGAAAATTAATGGCTAAAGATTTTTACGTTTTTGCCCATGATCATCTTAGCACCAATTGGTCTCAACTTGAGTCTAATTTAGTTGATTTGCTTGCTGCTGACATTGTCTACATCAACTAAGAGAGCCTTGGTGTATTTCTCAGAAAGTTCTTGGAGTTTGACCCAGTACTCTTCCTTCTTAATTCTCTTCTCAGACTTCTTTTTTAAACCTCCCACTAAAAGAAATAAGCGCTTATAGATACATACTTGTTTTCTTGTCCTTATAATAACAAATATTTTAATTATTAAATATTAGCATATATAATCGCAGCGTCCAGGTATTTTTGAGTATTCTTCATTTAATACTTAAAAATCAGGAATAAGTTTGATTCAAGGGGTTTTGGGGTTTTGGGGGAATAAAACAATCTTGCCG